CACATTAATTATTTTGAAGTGTGCTAATGAGTTCAGTGTATTCCCAGACTCAGTTGTATCATGTAACATCTTCTGTCAAATATGTCATCTCCTTAAGCAAAATGAAATACGTTCTGGAAATGTGTGTCTTGAGACTGAAATAATAACTATCACCAAGAGGTCACTCTCTCTTGAGATTGCTTTCTGAAGTAATAAGGTTTATTTCTAGGGTTCTGGAGACCTTGTGATTTTGTGTAGAATTCATTAAAGAATGGTTTCATAAAACACCTGGCTTTTTTCCTCTTTTTAAACACCTTTTGGAATATGTGCTTTAATAATAAATACAATTCATAATAGTTAAGAACTACAGGATAGAAGAGGGATGTCTTCTACCATCTACTTACTACCATCATGAAGGAAGTGAGTTAAATCTCTTTCAGTTCTCCAGTATATCTCAGATCCCAGTAATTTTCCACTAAAACTTTCAACTTCATGTTAAAAATATTTATTAGCAATTAATTTTTCTCCTCCTTTCTGCCCTCTCCCATTCCATCCACAACTAAGAGCAATTATTAAAATCTTATTTAATGTACTCCTAAAATACAAGAGGGGGTTAAAGAACAGAAATAGGAACTCCTTGTACAGAGATCTAACAGTTGAACTGAAAGACAGGTGCTGTCATTCCCTCGGTCATGCTAGGTGTCTCTGTTGCTTCAACTGTGGTCTTGAGAGGTCTGATCAGAAAGATATATGACTTAAGAAGCAAAAGAAGTGGAGAAATTTTGTTAGCCTCAAACCCCTCTAGATCAGCTTTTGGGAGGAAAACTGCTTCCCTCTCCTTTTTGAACTCTTCCTTTAAATGTTGAATTTATCCAATGTAGCACAGACGCCAAATAAGGAATTTGGCAAGGAGGTGACAGTTCGCTTTTGATAATAAAAAGGATATGTTTCTATTATAAATGACATAACTTTCTTGCATAACCATTTAGAGACCATCAATATGAAAATAACAAAACAGAAAAGCTGCATTCAAGCTCACAGAGCTCAAGACACCAGTTCTGTCAGATCTGTATCAGTCTTTTCTTCATACAGGCGTATATAAATTTGTTCAGATTTGAAAGAACTGAACATCAACTAGCATGTTTCTATAGTAAGAGCAATTTAAACAAAAAAAATCATTATTTCCCTTTTTCATACATACAGAAAAACATTAGTTGCTGGAGAAAATGACACTCTGAAGTATTATTTAAGTGAAAATTACAGGGCAGTTGACAGAATTCCCAACCACATACATCTGTGTATGACTAAGGATATAAAACAAGATCTCATGTGACCTTTCAATCTTAGACATAATGATTAGCCTATAATATTGCTAGTCTGCTCCCAGCTCTCCTGAAGTCCTATTAAAACACCCTTTTCAAGACACATTTCTCTGCCCCAACAGGCAAATTCCTTTACTGCCAAGAAAAGCAAGCAGGAGAGAACCATATGAAATACTGCATGTGTTGTGCGACGTGCTAGGAAAGCCAAGCGATCAGCTTGCAGGCATGCTGTCACCAGGTGTAACGAGCAGCACAAAATACAGTTGGAAAAGGGGCACATAACAAGCTGATAAAAGCTGCAAGCGCAGAGGTAGCCAGTGTAACCACCCAGACCACGCTGCAGCAAGTAGCTGTAGCAAGTCACTGTAGGATAAGCCTGAGCAGGCTACTGGCATAGCAGGCACATGGCAGCCTCACTTCTTTCACTGTTGGTCCAGCCTAGCAGTAAATGATGCTCTTGTTTCTACCCCACCACCCACCCTTTGTACAAAGCATGGCATTTTAATTCATTTTGCTCCTTTCTTAATATTTTAAAATCCACTGAAATGGAAGAGTAAAATCATTTTGTATATCAAGAAACTACGGTAGGATTCTATCCTTTATGTTTTAAACTGGTTTGTTTGCTTGTGGTTTTTTCTTTTCTTTTTTTTTTTTCTTTTTGTTTAATCATCCCTCACTTTTCTCATTTTTTCATGGCTCCTCAACCACTCAAAATTCCTTTTTTCTCCCCCATTCTGTTACTTGAGCTCTGACTGCACTTTCAGCAGTAATTTGTGGATTAACAGCTTATTCCAACCCATTTTCCACTATTAATAGTGTATGAATTACTTTCTTACAATAAGAGGTAGGTGAAGATCCGAAAACTGATGGAGAAATAGGAAGTGTCTGGTTATGTGGAGAGCTATTTATCAAAAAACTATCCCCATTTTTTCCTGGTTTTTTCCCCCCACCATTTTCCTTTCTTTCCACGATAGTACTTCCCACACTCTTTCACCTACACCCAAATGGAAAAAAACCAATCGCCTAACCTTGAAAAAATCATACTGTATCCAGAGACACATTTTATTTGGCAGTACCTTGATCCAGACTTCTCTATATGTTACACTGGTCATGATTAAATATTCTAGTGGAATGTAAAATAACTGCTTTAGCTTTCAAATGCTGTTTCCTTTTCTTAGAAATATGGTGGAAAAAAGTATTGGCTTTAGAAATCTTTAACCTTATTTCTGTGGATCCAAACCTCATTTAAGCAAAAACTGGACAGACAACCAGTACCATCCAGAAGTAGTTAAGAAAAAACATATCTCCTCCTCTCTTGCAGTTAGCTACTAGCTGAAGTACATTCCAGAGTACCCAGAATGATAATTTTAAAAACTGTTCCAAAGACTACACTATCTGTACTTCGGAGTTTTAGAGTAATCAGAAAAAGGGTTTGAAAATGATCATTCCAATCCCTTTTGAAGTTTTCCAACTAGAAAAAAACTACTTACAAAAGTTTTATAAAAACGCTTTGGCATCAAGTAGGGATATATTTAATATTTTGAGTGTGGCAGCTAAATTCAACCAATATGTCCTCATTTCAAAACCAGCTGCAATTATTTTCAAGTGATTAAAATAAGTAAACAAATATAACGAATCTCACAAAAAAAGATAGTCAAAAAGTGCTTTCTTTGACAAACCAATGCTGTAGCCTGGCTTGCTTTAGGGCTGAAAAGCAGCATATTCCTGCTCAGTGATATTCATTTTAAAAGATGCTTATCAGCTTCAGACCCTGCATAGAAGCAGGTAAGGGTAGAAATGGGGAAAGGAAGGAGAGACAGGAGATACCCAGCATCATGTGCCTATAATGGCTCATGCACTTTTCAGACAACCCTAAAATAATGTAGAAGATTTAGTTCACCCTTAGGCAAGCTGGTTTACAATAATTTTTATAATTTTTTAAAAAAACATTGCAAACAACTGCATTTACACCTCCTCCCTTAACCTAAGGGCTATCTATCTTTATTTAATCTTTCTACAGCAATCTGAACTAGTAAACATGAAATTATAAAACAAACAAAGACTATTAAATCATTTTGAATGACAATTCTATGGTTTTGAAATCCATTTTCTACTGATAAATAGCTGCAGAACTCACTCACTCTTTGGCATCTTAATGAAAATTACATCTCAGCATCTTCATAAATATGATATATCAAACCTAACTTGTGTTATGTAAGAAAATAACATCGTTCATCCTATGTTCTCTGATTCCTTCTTAGATCTGTTAGAACCCATGATATCAAAAAATTCTGATCTGATCTCAGGAATGAAAACCTTAAATGGAAAGTTATTCAAGTTATTTGATTAATTTAGCACATAAAAATCCTTAAACAACTTTGAACTGTTTTTGGAAACTGAGTTTGATCAAATTGACACAAATATGTCATTATATTCAAACGACTAGAAAACTTAATGAAAGAAAACATAAACACACTAAGATTAAAGATAATATTTAAAACCACAGATTCTGTGTCTACTGTGGGGTCATCTTCCAGAATGCCACAACCCATGCTAATTAAATCCTTTGCATTACTGCAGTTGCAGTCAGATAAATGTACTTGCTAAGATAATCCCTTCTTGAAGATTTCTGTCATGAGACTGTCAAACTGTATAATATAACAATTTCCAGTACTCAGGTTTAATCAAGCTAGACAAAATTATTGGAGACACTCCAACTGTTTTATGGCTTAGGGCATCAAGGATCCTGAGATCGCTTCCCAAGTGCCGTCAGATGCTACACATCTCCCAGATTTAGAATCCTGGCTTCCTTGACAGTCTCCTAATGACTACAGGAAATTCCAATATAACAACTCCATGTCCTCATCAGCAAAAGAAAAATGCAGCAGCACATCCAAGCTGCACTCCTTCAAATATCCATGCATCGATAATGATTTTAAATGAAACATCAGCTTTCCGTGATTTAAATACATAGCACCATAATCATAATTTTTAAACGTTCCTGGCTGTTTTAGTCCACAGGACTGTTGCCCAGTGGACATAAATGCCCACTGCTCATGAGTGACAACAAGAATTAACCGCACAAAGATGACAAATGGCTAAAAAACCTTAATACGAAGGTAAAAAAAATCTTGATATAACCTACAGATCTGTCCTTTGAAGAATTTATTTTTAAAATAAATTCTATTAAATGACATTTCAGAAATTTAACATTTCTTTTTTGTATTTGAAAAATGATCTTTTTGTTTGGAACAAGATTATTTAATCATTGCCTCAAACTTGCAAATAAAAATACTAATTACCAAGTATCCCATCAAAATGGTAAATTGAAATTGCTGCTTTGTTCACAAATGTGTTTTCTTGTTCTCACAATACCAATGACTATTTACAAGTTTTCGTGTTTTATAGAGATTATTTACTTGAGCAAAAAAATATCAAAAATTTTAATGGCAGTATAGCAACGTTACATTCATGAACATCTACATCAAACTTCTCAGATCAGAAGGCAGAAACTAGAGGTACAAAACCAGATTTTTTATATATATATATATATAAATAAATATATATAATGTATGTAATTTAGATAGATAGTCATTTTATCTATATATATTTACAGGTAGATTTTATATACATATATGTATACACACACACACACACACACACACACACATATATAATAAATCAGCTCAGAAGTCTTACCTGAGTTTGCTTCATTGCCCGCTCCATTCTGCGAGTACTTCCTTTCTCAAGTTTGGTCCGAAGGAGCAAGGCTGATGTCTGAATGGCCCAGAACTTTGGCTGAGAGAGCAAGCACTGCAGGGAAAAAGAGCATTTTGTCATTATTTAATGTTAAAAGACTCTGAAGACAGTAAAGTTTTGAACAGTTTCTCAAGTATGAATGCTGTTTCCTATTCTGAAAGTCAAACATGTGGCTGCAGTACATGGATGAATTGAAGGCTGTACAGATTACCTTAATCTACTTTCAAGATAAAAAGTGGCCTTCAAAACCAGTTTCTCCTTCTGAGCTACTGCAGCACTGTGTGTACATGTGGTGCATACACCAAACTGCACAAATTAAAACAGCCACTCGGAGTCAAAGAAAAATAAAGAATTTGATACTCAGCTGACCGGCCCAGCCTTCTCCACACCTGCACAGTGGATAGTTTTGGACAGCAGCAGGCATCCTACTTCTCAAGACTGAACAAGTCTAGTTCTGTCTTGGCCCTTCCCCATATGCAAGGTGCCCTGATGTCTGCATTAATAGCACTTTCACATGAAAAACACTGAAATTGCTAAGAATCTGAAGAAAATTAATCTAGCATTTGCCATGACTTGAGAATAACAGGAAAGATTTTTGATTTTAGTAGATGTATAGGCAATATGGAATAATCTAGGTAAAAAGCTTTCCTAAAAACATTTTAATTTCTCACTTTCTCACTTCCCTGCACTGATGCCAGGAACTTAGTGCCAGTCTCCAACCACTGATTTTTAGGAAACTCAAATAGGAGACATGTAGCCAATACAGCTTTGATATCCCTTAATAATTTACAGACCATCTGGATTCTTTCCAGTATGGTTTTAGACACAGTATACCATTCTTCTGTCAGATATTCACTCTGAAAACGGAGACAGCAGGAAAACTTCCTTGCTAATTTTATTGACACTGCAAATATGATCCATCTTCTCTGAGAAAATATATTTGTCTACAGATATTTGCAGACTGGAGAAAAAGCCCCAGCGGTTTTATTCTTTCCTCTCAAAGATCTCCCAAAGCATTAAAAAGTATGCTTTGCTCATGGTTTGTGTTAAATGCCTGACAAATTTCTGTCATATTGTAATCTGTTTTTCTTTTCCCTAGTGTTTTCAAAGGAAAGGAAGCAGAAAGAAATAATCTAAACCAAATTCCCTCCCAACAAAACTACAATAGGAAGAGAGACAACAGCAAATGAAAACATAAATGAAGGCAGTATGAATGCACTTACAGCCAAACACTTCAACATCACCTGATCCTCCCCTTTGAGACCAAGAATCTCTGCACTGACTCTTTCTTGACTTCTACTCAGATTAAAAAACACCCACAGGCATCTACACTGTCCTCTATGTTCTGAGGACCTGGAAGTATTAAGGGAACACAATCACAATGTTCTATATTCTGTAGACTTTCAAGTGCCCTTTTACAAATTATGATCAGTAAATCTATTAACTGGTACAAATCCTAGTCCTCAGAGTTCATCTCTCTCTCCTATTTCATGAAAGTTCAGTCTACTACCTATTTTTGTTTGGTCTTAAGACAAACACAAGCAAGGCATTCTTACCAGAGGACAGTGATTTCTGAATTTATATTTTGGCAGCCATTCCACATGGCTGCTAAACAAAACACCTTAAGGAATTGCTAGGACAAACACTTGAACAATGCCTACTTTAGCTTAAAAGCTTCTTTTGCGAGAAAGGTTACCCTCTTCCCCATTTTCTCCATTATTGGTATTCTGTTGTTTTATTTTTTACTTGAAACGAATTCTTTCTCTCCTACATGATAGTAGATACTAGTATTTATTTTGCAAATGAACACATCTCCCAAGAAGAACAATGACAACTAAAGGGCTTGACTAATAATGCTCCTAAAGATATTTTCAGTCCAGTTACGGCCCTTCTCCAGCAGCACAGTACTTGTCCTCTCACTCTGGTTCACCTCAGCAACTGGCACAAGGAGGGCATGGTACAGAGCCACACCATCCAGCTCTGCAAGAGAACGGGCAGCTCAGGAAAACCTCTCCTCTGTCTCCATGTACACCTCCAACACCACTGTCTAAGCAGGGTGCATGAAGTGTGTATAATCATGCTGCATGAAGTGTGTATAAAGTCATATGAGGAGGACGGAAGAGTGAAAAGAAACAGGGTGGAAGAGAAGTAGAAATAATTACATTTCACTCCTCTGCAGGAGCAATGACAAGTCTTATTTTGAATAACAATCCTGCTTTTTAAAGGTATTCATGAAACAAAATGAAAGGTATACCTGCTGTACAACTACAGAAGAAAAATTTGAGTTCTCCAATGGTTTCATTGATACAAAAAAGCACTGCAACTGCACAGGACAATGAGAAGCAGACCTAGTTTTCATTTAAGATGCACTTGTAATTTTATATTTGTACTGAGCTCAGTCCTGCGCCAGAACTCAAAATGCTCACCTTTTCATTGCCTAATTATAATGTTTAAAGCATCACAGATACAAAATAATACGTTCATAAAGGGCACAAAAGTTTACGCTTAAGGACTGTAAAGAATACTTTCAGAACATGCATCCATAACTATTAAGCAAGCTTTAATCTTCTACCCAAAACGCTGACTTGTTCCAGATAGTAAATACTTTCACGAAAGTGCCAAAGCTTTATATTTTCACCTGAAGCTAAATCTAGACTTTATTAATAGGACCATAGGTTAAAATAAAACATCTGGAAAAAAGAAAGACTTAATCAAGATCATGCAAGTTTTGTCAACATACTTGAAAATTCATTATACTACACCAAAGACAGCTAAGAAAATTAGCAAAATAATTCTAAAACAAAACCACAATTGAGAATCTTCATAAGTCATCTTTGTTCTTACTTTAGGGAAAGAACAATAAAATAAAGAAACACAGGAAAATTGAAAGGGTGAGAAGAAATGAAAGGAAATAAGGTTACACAACATTTTCTGCACAGAATAGAATATTTTCACATGGGAAAACTAATTTCTCCCCACATTTTTTCCTACAAACAAGAATCTTCTATATCATCCTCTCCCAACATATCAAAGTATAAAAAAAGGAGATTACCAAATTATTATAAAAACCAGAATATTTAATTCAATATATCATCCTCACACGACATTCAAATGAAAAAAGATAATGCTGCAAGTCTTAATAAACAAAGCAGTAAATTATTGTACAACACCTTTATAATATCTTCAATACTACAGCTATACAAAAATCAGAATAAGCTAGCAAGAATCCTCATGAAAACTTGTGCCATTGGTACTTCATATGTACACATAGATACCTACCAAATTGCAGTGTTTGGTTTTAAGGAAACTACATACAGGGAAAGCAGCCTGCACCTTAAAATAATCAAGAGTGTAATATATTCAAGATAAAACAGAAAACCTAACCAAAGAACCCTGGGAAATTTGGGACTCGCAGAAAAAGGGTTCCGCAATAATATAAGATGTCCAATCAATAACACAAACCAAAACAAAGTCTTCAGAAGGGCAGATGAATAAGACTGTATCAGTCAGTCATGATTTATAAAACATATAGGTTAGTCAGTGTGACTCTTTTGCATCGCTCCACCTGCTATTTAAAAAAGTTGGTGTTCTTAGAGGAATTCTTCCTGACATCAAAGACAGGAAGAGCTTACATGGGCTTATTAGACATGCTAGAAAAGCTGGAACAGGTAAAGATGATCCTTCTTGACTGCAGCTCTAAATAATTTGAATATTTTCTAACTTTTCCTTATTATAAATCTATGCATTAATCCCATTCTATTATTCCTGTAGATTGCTCACTGATAAACTATCAGTAGCCTTGCAAAGAATTATGACTGTTATGATGGAGCTACCATTTGGAAGTGGACTTGCAAACTGAGCAACTTTAATTGCAACCAGCTGTGGTATTCCCAAGAGTTTGCACATCAGTCCATCAGTGAACCAAAAACATTCTGCTTATTGGCCAAATAGCCAGGATGTGGTAAAATTACTTAATTGAAGGCACAGGCATGAGGCACCCTGAGGATTGCTCTGTTCCTTTGTCATCTCCTCCAAAGACATGACCTTTAGTTTAGATTAGGCTCAGGTTATTTGCTAACATATTTGAAGTTACAAACAAACAAACTGAAAACACTGAGGGGGATTTAAAAAAAAAAAAAAGAAAAAAAAAACTTTTTAGTGTCTTTTCATTAGCCATTTCAGTTAACATACTTCAGCAGCTTTGTTGTTTGCTTTTCCAAAAAGTCACACATAATTAAGATTTTCAAATTACTCATGTGGATTAATTCATGTCTATTTATCATTAGTCTTGCTTCATATAATTTCATATATCTTTATATGATGATTTTCAGTGATTCATTCAGATAATTAACATGAAGACCTGATTTCTTCAATATAACCGAAGGCAAAGTGGTAACCTTAAAACTCATTCCATGTTTCTCTGTAAAATGAGAAAATACCATGGCTTCTTTTCAACATTCTATATTGTGCACAGTAGTCAGGTAAGTACATAAGAAAAAAACCTAGATGGAAGCATGTGACTGAGGTAGGAACAGGGAAAATTCTTGCTTCTTGCACTCACTTTGTAGACATATCTGTTAATCTCTGGTAAAAGACTCTACTACTGAAATCTAACTTACAGGTGTTTAATTTGTTTTTAAGTATACAGCAAAGGATCCTTTGACATAAAAACTTCTATGGAATTCAATCCTCAGAATAAGAGGAGAAAATTGGTATGAGATTAGGGAGGATGTGATTTTTTTTCCACATATTATTCTCATCCAACTAATCTGACACTTAAATTTCTGCATAAATAAAGCAAGTTTTTCTCTTTAAAAGTCATGTTCAAATGGCCCTTACTTAATTTGAAGTTTTTTGGAAGTTTCTCCTAGCATTAAACTAGTGACCAAAAAAGTAAAATGAAGTAAAATTAAAAATAATCAACTTATGGAAAAACCTGAAATATGCAACATTATTGTGGAAAAGTTTCCTTACATTAAATCTATGTATTTTCAACAGAATAGTATTTCACAAAAGATACTTCTTGTGGTTCTGGAAAACTTCGCCCTGCAAAG